ACAAGCGGCCCTTGAAAGTAGGAGATTTTGTGTAACGAAAAATGGAGGCAACTGGTAGGGCCAATGAGCAAGGAAAGTTGACTTCCAATTGGGAAGGCCCCTACTGGATCTATGAAGAAGTGAGAGGCAACACCTACCGCCTAGAAACTCCAGACAGCAGACAGCTAGCCAGTAATTGGAATGTAGATAACTTAAAAAGTACTACTTTTAAGACTTGTAATTTTTTTGAGAATAAAAAGCCCACCAATGAAAAAGTTGCTTTTTATTTTCAACTCTTTTTATTTATTCCTTTAACAATATAAATCTCCCAATGGGAATAGCGTCTGTGCAATGTGCAGGTGGTCTTATTAAAACCCATCGTATGCTCCAACATGAGCAGACATCCGTTGATGCCCATCTGGGTGAATTCGTCGCAGAGAGCATCTCTCATCCGGGTTGTACATTGCTTTATAAAATTATTGCAAACGGTAAAGATTAATTATTCCAATGAGGCGCACTCATAGCCGTTTCACATAAGCAATATAAAGGAAACCTAGATGGTATACTAAAACCGCGTGTTCGTAGACTCTGTTGGTAACCTACCGTTAATCCAACTTAGATTGCATTAAGAATCATATACTTATAGTCCTCCCAATGGGGCAGAAGGGCGCCTGAGTATATGAATGGGTTACACATACCCCATAAGGTTAAAACGATCCTAGTCCAATAGACTAAGCAATCTCCGAAGACTGCCTGGGTTCCAATGTCAAACCGCCTGATTCTTGGACGGTTGTGTACTTAGTTTGAGGCAATAATGATTGTGATTGATTGGATTAGGAACTCATCATACTCTTAAAAGTATAAAATTACCTAAGTTAATCAATCAAGTTTTTGAAACCAACCACACAGCCGCCCTAGGGCAAAAGAGCCAGCCGGTTTGTTAGTTATCCCATGCAATTAATAAGTTAGGCAAAATTCAAGAATATATATATATAACAAATCAAAGCAAATAAAAAATTGCAAAAATAAAAAAAATTTAACAAAACTGACTCAGTTAGTCAATTCATAGATAAAGCCCGACCAAAAGGCCGGGAGAGTGATTGTTAAACCGGATCTGCGTCCGGGAAATTGAAAGAGATTGATAAAAAATACAACAGATACTCGGCATGTAGGTCGGAAATGCAAACGGCCAAAGACCGCATAGAACTAAGGAAAGCTAATTTTGCCGAGGTCGGGCCACCGGCGCATCCTTCTCAGGTGGAGGTAGAGCAGAGTTCACCTGTGCATCGTCTCCTTGTTGCTTTTACTCCTCTCTCTCCCTTGCAGCTTGAGCTAGCTTTTCCTCATTTGAGGCCTCCTTATTTGCCCACTCCTCGAATGGTTCCGAATCCGGTTTTCCCTCAACCCTTGCAGAAAGAACAAGATCTGCGTAATTGTAAGCCAAGGCCCAGACACCATAATCAGCATCCCGATGCACAAGGTCCCATGCCATCCTTATCCGATCCTCACGTCTTGTTCATTCTCCTCAATGAGGCGGCTTTGTTCAACCTCCGGAATTACTCTGAAGTTGCCCTAGAAGGCAGCCATCTCACTCTTCAAATGGTTGACGTCTGCTCGGAGAGTGGTGTTCTCCTTGTTGGCGCCCTCCAGAGTTTAGAGGTCCGCCTAGGCATTCTTGAGCATCTCCTTAAGATTGGTGGCCTTCCGGTTAGCCTCAGCAAGAGCAGTCGTTAGCTGCCTGATGGATTCCGCCAGCGTCATTAGCTCAGCGTTAGTCTTAAGTTCATTTATCGTATTCTGATACTGAGCAACGGTAGCAGACTCATTTGCCCGTTTATTAGCCCGCCTTACCTCTTCCTGCTTCCGAGCATACGGCTTCTTCAGCCAATCAACTCTCAGCATCGCCTGTATACATGCGAACGGTGTGTTAGAAAAACAACTGGCATTATACTTTAAAGGAATGTGAATAAATTTATTATACCTAAGACAGCAGGGAAAGGATGCGGTTGACATTCAATGACTGAATCCCAGGGATAGCCTCCTTGTCCTTCTTGGGTATAGACCTCAGCATGGTCTTGGAGAACTGCTGCACATCTGGCCACCGAGGGGATTGATTTGTAGTAGAAGGTAGATTTGGTGAGAAAGCTACATAGGCGCCACCAACAGACTGTCGGCTGCCTTAGGAACCCTCTGACTATAGTTGAGAACGTGACTTGACCCACATGGGCCAACCAAGCTCAAAGGGGGAGTCGAAGGGGTCATCCGTACCATGGGGATGAGGCTGAAGGCTTAGATTGCCTACAGCCGTTGCGGAACCGCTTGCACCTTTGGGTGGCTCGCCACCCTTCGGCACCTCAAAGGCATCCAGCTTATTTATGAAGTTTATCCCCATACCAACGTTCCTGATACTCTTCCCGCCAATGGTCAGACGACCCTTCCTAAGCGAAAACTTGGGAGCCGTCTTAGAATAAGACACCTTTTGGGTCTTGGCCGAGCTATTTACCTCGTCATCTGGTTTCTGTTTGATCAGCTTGGTAAGGGACAAGGAGCCTCCTTGTCTCCATCCTGAAAAAAAAAATAAGACATTAAGCATACAGTCGAATTATAGTCGTCTGTATAAATAAACATGAAATGGGAGAAGCTGGGGCAGGCGGTTTATACCTGGCCCTTAGCCGCCAGTTCGGCTTTCTTCTTCTCCGCATTATCCTTGCGAATTTGAGCAGCTGAGCGAGCAGGCGTCTTATCTTGATGAAGCATGCTTCTGCCGGTTTCTGCAAAAAGAATCGTCTATCAGATCATCAAGTAGACAAGAATTCACAAGTTAGAAACAATAAGAACGGCATAAAATTGTCGGATGCATGCTATACGTACGTCTGTCAAACATGGTGCTCAGACCGCAGGCGGAAAAGAACGCCTCGTCTCCCAGCCACTCATGTTTGGGTACCCAGTTCTTGGGCACCCTTATTAACTCGCCGGTTGAGAGGGGTGGTTGAGAGCACACTTCTGACCCAATAGATCCGGCTTTTTATTGTAACAGCGATACTTAAAGTTATTTCGCCATTTTAGGGCACAAACCAGGTAAAACATGTTCTTCCACTCAGACTACATAGAGGGTTTGTCTAAGTTCATCAAATAATTAGGGTAGGTGGTCAAGGTGTACCACGCTCGCCAACCCGGATGGAGGCCCTGCATCTCACAGGCGACAATGTAGCCTAGAATGCTAACCTAAGAATTTGGGGTTAATTGCCACACACTCAGGCCATATCCTCGTAGGATAGCCTTTATTGCATCGTGAAGGGGGAAGCGGAGACTAGCTAGGAAGGCCGCCTCATAGCAGCTGAAGCAGTTGTTGGCATTCGGTTGGTCATCTTGAAGAATTTGGGGTTAACTACTAGAAATAGATTGTTTTCCAACGGAACCCTTCCGACGGACCTAAATTTCTGTCAGAAATAATTTTGAATTTCCAATGAATTTGGATCTGTTAGAATATTCCGTCGGAAAATACCTTTTCCGACCGAAATTCCCTCGGAAATATTCCGACGGAAATAAATTCCATCGGAATTAATTTCTTTCGATGGAATATTCCATCGAAAGCTATTAATTCCGACGGAATTTATTTTTGTCGGAACAGGTTAAAAAAACATAGGATCCTTTGCATTAATATTCATGAAACCAGGAACAGAGGAGAGAGAAAAAAAGAATGGGAGAAAGAGAAAGAGAAAGGAGAAAGGAGAAAGAGAAAGAGAAGAGGAAGAGGAAGAGCGCTCCCGGATCCGCCGCCACCACCGGTTCCACGCACCACCTTGGCCGCCGTTTGGTAAGTGGAGTTAGTTTTGTGATGTTTTTGAATTTTTTTTTCTCTTCCGGATCTCTAACGCTCACCACCGTCGTTTCTGCAGCCAACGCCGATCCTAGCTGCCACCAAAGCAAGGTTCTACCGCTCCTGACGCCGCCAGTGGTTAGTGTTGTTGTTTTTTTATTTTTATTTTTTTCTTTTTTTAAAAAAAAACCGGTGAAACTCTAACCGTAGAAGTTCTTCGCAGCCACCACCTACGCCACCTCCACTAATGCCACCCTCACCGAGCTTGCCATGCAGCCACCACCGAGGTTATACCTACTCATAGTGAGTTCCTTTTCCCCTTTTGTTTCAATTGAATATAATTTTGGTTTAATAATAAACCCTTTTATATTTTTTTGTCTTTAATTTTTATGTAGGATTTGTATAATTAGTTGGTTTAATTATCACATTACAAACCCTAATACAATGCATGCTAGATTATTTTGGTTATTTTAATATAATGTAGTTTAATTTACTTTAGTTTTATGTAATGTATGTTAGTTTAGTTTAATATTATGATATGTTAGTTTGGTTTGGTTTAGTTTAGTATGATGTATGTTAGATTACTTTAATTTAATATAATGTAGTTTAGTTTTGTTTAGTTTTATATAATGTATGTTATTTTGGTTTAATGTTATGAAATTTTAGTTTAGTTTGGTTTTGTTTGATTTGGTTTATTTGAATATTATGATATGTTAGTTTTGTTTAGATTAATTATGATATATCTGTTTAATCTAATGTATGTTAGTTTAGTTAATATATTTTTAAATAAATCATTTGCATAATCATATGCGTAGATACCCATTCAAGGCATACACATTAGGAGTATGTCTTGAATAGTCCCCGGTTGGGACTGTCCTTGTACATGCCTTGTTATTGATTCTAGGGAATATCCTGCCTTCTCATTTCTCTACAATGTTCTCTGGGTACATATGTAGGTGTGTTTAATCGCCTACATCGTGCACTTGGAGAATTATAGGGAAATGCTGGCGGATTTTCCATAGAATTGAAAACCTGGCTTACATTCACTAGTGAGATTAAACGTACAAGGATGGGTTAGGTTGGAGTGACAAGGACCCTTTGATGGATAACGAATAGGAAATATGCTTTGTGACTAATGTGACTATACATATGCGTGAGTTTTGTAGAAGTTGTGATCATGAAACGAACAGAACGTAGCTAGATGTGTGAAAGGAAGGTTGGGCTTTCTATTAATCCAGAGTTCGTGAAAGGGGTTGATGAATTCATTCAGTACGCCAAAGATCATCTGGAGAGTAGTACCCGAATGAAGTTAGGTGTCCATGTTTTAAATGTAAGAACAAACGGCTTTGGGATGCGAAAACGGTTAAAATTCATTTGTTTCGCAGGGTTTTCTACCTAATTACTATGAGTGGATGTGTCATGGGGAAGGGTTTCCAAGAGTTCTTGAAGGGCGTTCCAACGAATATCGTGAAACGGTTTTCGATGCTTTTGGTCATACTCAAGACCAAGGGCATTCAGAGGAGGAGCCTAATGAACAAGCCAAGCATTTTCTAGATTTGTTGAAGGCTTCTGAACAACCATTATACGAAGGGAGTTCATTGTCTATGTTAGAGATGACTGCTAGAATTATGAATCTAAAGTGCGAGTATAATTTTCCCCACAGATGTGTTGATGGGTTTGCTTCTTTACTTAATGAAGCGATTCCTAACAACAACCATATGGCCGACACATTCTATGAGGTAAAGAAGATTGTGAAGGGCTTGGCGCTGCCTCATGAAAAGATTCATGCATGCCCGAAAGGATGTATGTTGTTTAGGAAGGATGATGCTCAGCTATCTATATGTAGGGTGTGTGGCAGCGACCGATACAAGAAGATTTCTAAAGGCAGCTTAGTGCCTTTGAATGTTTTATTTTATTTCCCGATCACACCCAGGTTGCAAAGGCTCTTTGTAACCAAGGACAATTTGGAGGAAATGACATGGCATTCAAAAAACCCTCGAGTACAAGGCACAATGGCACACCCTAGTGATAGTGAAGCTTGGAAACACCTCAATAGTTACTTTCTAGAGTTTGCCTTCGAGCCTCGTAATGTTCGACTTGGCTTGTGTCAATGGTTTTGATCCTCATGGTAAGTTTGGGGGACAATATTCTTGTTGGCCTATCATTTTGACCCCTTATAACTTGACTCCATTAATGTGTATGAAAAGACAATTCATGTTCCTATTGTTGCTCGTTTCTGGTCCTAAAAACCCTAAGGGCAACTTGGATATGTGCATGCAATTGTCTCTAAAAGAGCTGAAACAATTTTGGGACGTTAGCGCAAATCCTTACGATATTTCGAGGAAACAGAATTTCAACCTTCGAGCAGCCACCCTATGGACTGTTAGTGACTTCCCGGCTTATGGTATGTTGTCTGGTTGGACCACATCCAGTAAAAAGGCTTGTCCATATTGCATGGAGAAAAGCAAAGCATTTTGGCTAGAACATGGTGGTAAAGTTTCTTTGTTTGATTGCCACCGCCAATTCCTTTCCACAGATCACCCTTTACGGAATAGTAGAACTGCATTTTGTAAAAACAAAGTCGAGAAAGGTGCACCTCCACATATCATGTCAAGAGAGGAAGTGTGGGAATGTGTGAAAGACCTTCTGAAGGCCACAAACAGGTCCGAGGCACTTAAACGCCTCAAAAAAGCTAAGAAGGGGTGGTTCAAGCAAAGCACACTGTGGGAGCTTCCATATTGGAAGCATCTGCTCATTCGACATAACCTAGATGTCATGCAAATTGAAAAGAACTTCTTTGATCAGTTAATTGACACTATAATGAATGTGAAAAAGCATACATGTGACACGCCATCAACTCGAAATGACATTGTCAAATATTGTAAACGGCCGCAGCTTCATCTTCAGGAGGATCATAGAGGAAAAGAGTTCATGCCACATGCTCCATTCGCTCTTGACAAGTCTCAGAGAAAAGTTTTGTGTGAATGGGTTAAACAGCTGTTGTTTCCTGATGGTTATGCATCCAATTTGAGCAAATGCGTAGATTTGCAGGCATGTAAGCTACACGGAATAAAAAGCCATGATTGTCACGTGTCCACGGAGAGGTTGTTGCCCATTGCTTTGAGAGAATTGCTATGCGGTCATATTTGGAATGCAATTAATAAAAATCAGCCAATTCTTCCGCGATTTGTGTTGCTACACAATCACTGTTAGTGACATGGAGCGATTGGAGAAAAAAATAGCTGAGATCCTTTGTAAGCTGGAGAAGGTCTTCCCTCCTGCATTCTTTAACTACATGGAGCATTTTCCTATTCATTTGCCATATGAGGGCAAGTTATGTGGTCTCGTTCAATATAGATGGATGTATCCCTTCGAAAGGTAAATAAAAGACCCTTTCATATCCTCTTTTTTACTTCCCATTCATTGTCATGACTTGTTTATACATTTATATAACTATAATTGTATGTTCCTCAATCACTTGAAACGAAAAATTGGGAACAAGGCTCGAGTTGAAGGTTCCATATGCAAAGCTTATCTCACCGAAGAGATAGCAAACTTCTGCTCTAATTAATTTCAGGCAACAGTTGACACTAAAACACGAGATTTGGTCGAAATGTGAATGCCGACGTGGACTCCCTAGTGGACGACGTTGAAATACCAGAGTTGTTCATGGAGGATAGCGGCCGTGTGTCAAATGAGGGTAAAACTCGGTTTTTAGATGAAAAAGAACTCGAGTGTGCTCATTTAATCGCGTTACGAAACAACGGCATTCTTGGTGCATACAAAAGGTATATATGTTTAGGAATGAATTGTATTCAACGTTATGAGCAAATAAAATGATTACAATGTTGATTTATCGTGCGTCTTTGACCTCGTAGGAGGTTTGAGGACTACATTCTTAGTATTCGACATTATTTGCGCAGAGAAGAAGTCATGGAGAAATGCGAAGCTGAATTCTCTGATTGGTTTCATCACAAGGTGATATAAACGGTCTAACCGTGACATAATTATGACTTTTACTTCTTGCACTTCAATTTATTCAATTCATGAGCTGTGACGTTGGTATTCAAAACGTTCATAGGTGGTTGAAGAGAAACCAAATTCGGATGTCCAGCAAGAATTGTGCATGCGTCCTTTTAAGCGAGTTCAAACTTGGAGGCAGATTTTTTTCGGTGGATTTAATTTCCATACACATGCCCATGGCAAGCACAAATCTACAATGAATTATGGTGTGTGTGTATCAAGTGAGGATAGTGGAGAGTACTTCGGCATTTTAGACGACATAATTGAACTTGTCTACACTGGTCCTGAAAAAGAGTACAAGACTATTTTATTTAAGTGTAGTTGGATGGATTGTGGTAGGGGAATGAACATACATGAACAGTACAAGCTTGTCAAAGTAAATCATACTAAGAAATATCCCAAGTATGATCCATTTGTCTTATCTTACCAAGTGACTCAAGTGTACTACGCATCATACCCTATCGTGAAACAAGATCGAGTTTAATGGTTGGCTATGTTTAAAACACAAGCAAGGTCAGTGGTTGATGCTCCGGTGGACTTAGAGTTTTTTGCAGGCACCATCCCCACAAGTACATACGACGCTTTGCCCACCGAATGACATTCCAGACTATGCCATAGATGATGATGGTGAAGATGATGACGATGGCTTTGTTATCTCAAGCGATGAAGATGATGAATGTAGTATCGACTCTAGTGATAGTGACGAGGATGATGACATCGATGTATTATTAGATGATAGTAGTGATAGTAGTGATGAGATTACTGAATAGGAGAATATGTTAATCTCCTTTGAGAATTTGCTTGTTCTTGTAAAATAAAAATATGACTTGGTCTTATATTAAATCTTTACTGTTTGTATAAAATTTTATTACATTGCACTATACTTGTCATTTATAATATCATGTCATGTTACGAACATCTATTTCAGGTTGTCATGGCGAGGGGAAGAGATGGAGAATCGTCGAGGAAAGCAAGGGGGAAAAGGAAAGGTCTTGCTGCTGTGATCGACGACGATGATATAGATATGGAGGATGTGGAGGCACATGATTTGGGTGCCACTATGGAGCCTACCTCCACCCATGCATAGGATCAGACATAGGAGGATTCAGAGCTGTCGATATTAGACCCTACTACGCTTTGGTACATACGTACATATAATGAATTAGACTTATATTCTTATTTTCGAAAATTTAAACTATTTATTACTTCTAACAAGGTCTACGTTAATTTTTTTTATGATCATCTAACATTGTTGTTTCTCGTTTATTGTAGGTTTGAGGATAACAAGGTTAGAAGTGCGGTCTCCAGTACTCTTACCGGATACTACCGAGAGCCTTGGAGGAACTACGGAGAGGTAGATGAAGCAACGAAACAACACTGGTTGAACTTGTTCAGCGTATGCTATTTTGAACTTAGTTGATACATGTTTTATTAATTGTATTGAATGAGTTGAGTTTATAACTTTTAAAGTTTATCATTCGCAGAAACAATTCATATGGGCACCATAATTAACCGAGCATGTGAAGGTCACTTTTCAAAGGCGGTTTGCAACTCGCCTACGTGACATGTTCTACACAGTCACACACAAGATGAATGGCTCCAAGCCAGGCTTGCTCAATGAGGGAGTCCACAAAAAGATGATGTACATTTTTTCCACAGATCCGACGTATAAGAAGAGGTCGGCCCAGAACATGAAGAACAGAAGGGGCGGTTTAATGGAAAATGTGGTCGAACCAACCCACTATCAAGGTTCTATGTTAGCTGACCAACATGCAAAAAGGATGGTAAGTTTATTTAATAGGCAAGTAAAATAGAATGCATTTGTGTATTACAATGTAATGGGGGTGTGAAATTTATAACGATGCTTTTCTGCATGTATAATCAAAAGCGGCGAAGAATAAAGGCCAGTTACCAACAGCTCCTGAGCTTTTTCTGAAGACGCACTTCAAGGATGTGCCTGGGAAAGGATCAGTGCCAGTCAACACCAAAGCGAAGAAAATTGCGGTAAAAAATTCAATATAACTTAGATTCCAAACTTATTTGCTAAGAAACATTGAAAATGGGCAAAGTATAAGTCACCTAGGCCATATTTGGTTCTATTTTGATTAAAATGCTCTTAAACTTAGTTACTTTGGTTTTTTTTTTTGTCATTTCAAGCCCTATACACCTAACACTACCTATTTGGGACATGTTGAGAATGAAAGAACTCATTTTCTAAGAAACATTGAAATTGGGCAAAGTATAAGTCACCTAGGCCGTATTTGGTTCTATTTTGATGAAAATGCTCCCTTAAACTTACTTACTTTGGTTTTTTTGGTCATTTCAAGCCCTATACACCTAAAAATACCTATTTGGGACATGTTATGAAAATTAAAGAACTCATTTGCTTTGAAACCCATTGAAAATGGGCAAAGTATAAGGCACCTAGGCCATATATGGTTCTATTTTGATGAAAATGCTTCCTTAAACTTACTTACTTTGGGTTTTTTTTTGTCATTTCAAGCCCAATACACCTAAAACTACCTATTTGGGACATGTTATGAGAAAGAAAGAACTCATTTGCTAAGAAACATTGAAAATGGGCAAAGTATAAGGCACCTAGGCCATATTTGGTTCTATTTTGATGAAAATGGTTTCCAACACTTAATTATTTTGGTTTTTTTTTTTTGTCATTTTAAGCCCTATACACCTAACACTACCTATTTGGGACATGTTAGAAGAAAGAAAGAACTAATTTGCTAAGAAACATTGAAAATGGGTAAAGTATAAGTCACCTAGGCCATATTTGGTTCTACTTTGATGAAAATTGTTTCGGGTGTTTTTAGTCCCTCATGAGAGTTACAATTCTGGGTATGAGCGCCTGACTTCTGTACCTGCAAAACCACGAAACTCCGGTTGGGTGGAGTTCCACCTCCGAAGATCAAGTTAGTATGATTCCGGGTGAGTAAGCGTGCGGAAAGTAAAGGGGTGTTTCTCTCTTATTCAGGGAGATTCCGCAATTAATATTGCTCGGGATTTGTGTATGTATTTATGAATGCCAATAAATGAGGATGATTCCTCTATTTATAGCATATGAGAATCTCCTCCCTCATTGGGG